TGCATGGCGGGGCATGGTGAGAAGGATGGCCAGAGTGATTTCTGGGTAATACTGCAGCATCCGAACCCCTCACCTCATGCTGGCAGCATTTGCGCTGGATAAATCTTGGAGGGAACTGTACATTGGGGAAGTCGTGCTGCAGCGCTGTGTGATAACTGCAGATAAGAGCCTTGCCGCTGTGATTAAGGCATGACCAAACAAGTTTCCCAATCCCTTACCTATCCCTGCTGCTCCTTGAGACAACACTGTCATCCCTGGCTAGAATGGACGGGCAAGCAGGAGCAAACTGGAGCTGTAAGCCCTGCTGCCACGCCGCAAATAAACATCACCCTCCTCCTGAGCAAGGGGTGGCTCAGGATGGGCAGATCTCCAGAGGAAATGTCCTGGCAGGGCTGAGCATCTTGACTGCATCGGGCTCAGAGGGATGGGGAGTAGGGGCTCAAAGCACAGTGAAAAGGGACCCAGAGTGAAAAGGACCGGATGCTCAGCCAGTGGCCGGACGGCCGTGTCTGCTGTGGGCACGCACAGTCCTCCATGTCCCACCACCGGCTGCGGGGCTTCGTCATAGCAAGGCTCCAGCAGCTGCCGCAGAGGGCAGGAGGGGATGGCCAAACTGGCCAGCTCTCCAGCGCTTTGCTGCATCAGAAACTCACTCACAGGGTCTTGCCTGCTTTACAAGCCACTGAAGGATCACCATTTTCCTTTAGAAAGAGCTAAGGGCTTTGTGGTGCTGTACAGTTTGCTCAGCTCCTGTCCCAGCAGCAGACCAAAGAGGGGAGCTTTAGGCTCACTCAGGGTTGTTCCTCTCTCTTCTTTTCTATACAGTTGCTTGGAGAAAACATGTCTATTTTTAGAAGCACATATATTGCAGCACTGTTGTACATGCAAGTCCTACTATAAGCATATAGACACCCTATGATTCTTACCCTGTTTATAAGGCAAAGAAGTCACGGGGGTTAAGCCAGTGGAAAACAAGTGCAAGAAAAATCAAAGCAGGGCCTGTGGCTGTATAATTTGGTGTACAGCTGAAAGTGGTTTCTGAACATCTTGTTTTCACAGTGTGTCTGTGCTCACTTAATTTTAGTGCCTAACCTGCAATCTGGACAAAGAGCATAATGTCATGCCAGGGTGTGCATTCAGCATGCACAGCCAACATAAAGAAGCAGATAATGACCCTTTTGACCAAAGTATTTAGCAAAGCCCACGAGAAAAAGCTTTCCATCTATCTCAGAGGGCTCATTTGCATTGAGAGAGCCAGTACACTTCTCCAGATGCTTCTTGGCCTGCATGAACAGTGCCACCCCAACAGCTTTCAAGAAACATTTTAATGGGTACCACTAGATAAAACTCTGTAGTTGCAAATCAGAATGGTCACCAGCAAAATGACTCTGTAGTTCTTGTTTTCCTCATTAAGAGTTAATTTTCATAAATACAGAGTGATCACCAGGATGTTTTGCTGTTAGTTCTTTGGGCTGGTTTCTGCAAAGGAGGCACAAGGCAAAGCCAATATCTCCTCCTCACCATTTTGTGCTGGTAAATACCTCCTTGCTTTCTGGAGTTGTCCCAAGGTGCAATGGTTGGACATAGGCTTTTTCACGAGTTTCCGTGGTATGCTAAGTCCTGTGAAGGCCTGCTGGGTGAGCTATCTCCTTTTATCCTGAGATTAGAGTCAATGGTTGTGGCATATCATCTTCTGACGTTAGCAACTCAGGAACCTGGGCCTGGCAATGGGATGGGAGTTCAGGAAGAGAAGATAATTGTACTTGCCATTTGCCCAGCTCAGATCCAGGAAATGAAAAGGTGTGCAGAAATAAAATAGATTAATAATAGAGTCAGACGTTGACAATGGTTTCTACCCTACTGAGGAATCAGCTGGCAAGTCTCCCGCTCTCCACTACTGCTCAGCAGATAAGCAACTCCAGTGTCAGAAGAATAGCAATGATATTATGTCATGACTAAAGATGCGATAGGTCTCTCTAGATGTAGTTAGATGTTCTCTGAAAGGAAGAAACTATAGTTAAGCCTCGCAGGCCTGCTTATCTGACTGCAGAGGGCGATCATCAGGACATCCAGTGCTAATATATTATCACTAATGATGACAACCAACAGTTTCTTTTCCACATGAGTTACCATTACACTTGGCTGCAAAGTCCTGTTTTCACAAGGACAATTTTTCCCTCATATAGGACAACAACCTATAGTTTTTTCCTTCCTATATTTCTTTTTTGGGCTCCCTGTTTTCCTCTGTTAATTAGGTTTAAATTGTTTCCAACATTATTTGATTGATATGAGTGATCATCTACCACTTTTCTCCTCCACAAGCCTGCATGTGTCATTAGATGCTCCACATTCTTAAAGTTAGCCTGAAGGCAATATTTGATCTCTCAAACCAGCTATCACAAGAGCGTTTGCCAACCTTTATTTCAGCGCCAAAGTCTCGCTTTTGGCAACTGAACTAAGTGTTCGTCTTACCTCAAGTTCACCTTTGCAAACATTTCTCCTATAACAAGCATATTTTAAGGACCACTGCCCCTGATGTCCTACACTATGTCCTGTGCTTAACATAATAAATTGTTGTGTTAAGATCATAAAAGGCTGAAGTAGCTTTGCAGGAAGATGGCATTTCTTGATGCAATCCAACGGTGTCTGGAGATGGCTATTACCTACAGAAAGGTGGGACAGGACTGACTGGGACAGCAGACAGAGCTGTTTTGCAGGCTCTGAAAAGTCTGGTAACAGCATTGGTGCTTCTCACAGGCACTACTGTGAAGGGAACCAGAGAAGTATTTCAGCTATATCCCCAAACAGGTGCAATGAGCCAAGAAGGAGGCAGTAGGAAAGCCTGAGACTATCTGAAGGGAAAGTCGTGGCAATCTCTGCAGCCTCTGACGGGCTACGGGCAGCTCCAGCATCCTGAGGGGCTGTGATGGGTGGGAAGGTTGCACTGTCTGGGCTGAAACCACTTCCCCCAGCTCTGGGAAAGCCCAGCAGCTCTGTGAATCATATCCTGATGCGTGCAGACCAAAGTGTGGAGATGTCTGCTGCTGCATCCTTCTGTCTGGTTGGTTGGACTGCTCTTGCTAAAGGACAGGGTTTGTACTGCCTTGTTAAAGCTCTTACCGCTCAGTAATTCCCAGTCCAGCAGCTGCCATGGCCTGCTCTTCTCCTTCCCAGTGCAGAAGATAAAGGCCAGTTTGGTTCACAGAGTCCAGTTCAACATCACCACACTTGCTATTGAAATTTCTTTTAAAAGAGATCTGTCTCCATACATCTGCAATATTGTCTCCAGGATCCGCAGGCTTGCTCCAGGGCACTGCTCCATTGCTCATCCATCTCCTGTGGGATGCAGATGCAATTCTCTCTCCCTGTGCCAAATTTGTCTTCTGCCATGATGCACCATTTTGCAGAGTCTGCTCTCAGGTTTACTGGCTATTCATGGATGCTAATTCTAGGGCCTCTCCTATTCAACCATCTTGTTTCTTTCTATCTTCTCCTGTTGAATTGTTGTTTGGCCAAAATCTGCTTAATTCCAAAAAAGAAGAAAATATACCAGTGACTGCAGGAAAGACATTTCTTTCTTTGAAATGTCCTAGCTGATGACAGTTCTCCAGACCCAGGGGAATATAACCTGAAGAGACCCAAAAGTGCTAACCATAGCCAAGGTTGCAAGTTCTGCAAGCCATATAACTCGCTGGCTCCTGCCCAGGATGCCCAGGGGTGAGCTGGCTGCTTTGGGTAGCCTCTCCTTCATGATACCAGAGGAGATCACATCCAGTTACTCTATCTTGCCAGGCCAAGGGATTGTGCCTTGAGACTGCACACCTATACTCAACCGCCCAATCAAAGAGAAAGCTGCTCTCTAGAATTAGGTCTGAGGCTGCATGTTTCAGGTCCAGGTGTCCTACAGAATTAGGAGGTAGCTGGCACTGGACCCACAATTTGTTTTACCACTTGAACGGAGATCCCATTTTTATGTATTGCAGAGAGCTTGGACTCAGCTTTGAAAGCAGGCTGAGGTTTCTGAACGCACCAACATCCCCAGCTCATGCTGCAATCATAGCTCCAGCTTCTGCTCAGTGTGACCCCTCTACTCTGATGACTTTTCTGCATCCCGTTAAGTACCTGCCTTTCTAACACTATCATTAGGAGCTGAGCTTTGCTATGCAGTCCCTGATTAATAACCCTTTGCAGCTGCTT